ATCTGTAAGGGTAAAAGGGAAATTGGGGTACAGAAAAGTCCAAGAAACCCCCCCAAAAAACCCGGGGTCAAAAAAAACAAGGTCGTGTACTTTTTCATTGTTAAAAAGGGGGGAATTTGGGTTTCGAGGCCCTAAGAAACAAAAAACCCGGGCAGGAGAAAGAGGAAGAAGAGGGAAAAAGGAAAAAACCCCCCAGACAGGGGAAAAGGGAAAAAGGAAAAATTTGAAATTTAAGAAATTCAAAAAAAAAAAAGGCACAGAAGAAGTTATGAATTTTTTTTAAAAAAGGGTTGCGTTTGGGTTTTGAATTGGGAAAAATAAAAATTGTACCCGAAAAAGACCCATTTAAAAAAATAAGTGTCTTTGGTTTTTAATTTTTGGGAAAAGAGTTAATTCCGCACCACACAAACACAACAACCCCCCAATCCCAATTTAAAAAATGAATTAAAACATTCCCAAAGGGGGATACAAAGGGTTTTCGTTTTCATTTTTATTTTTTTTTGGGAAAAAGAAAGTATTTCTTTTCGAAAGTAAAGAGGGGTCCCGGGAAAAGGAGTTTGGGGCTTTTGTTTCCCGAGACACACTCCCAAAAACGAGAAAACAAAACGTTTAATTTCCCTTTTGCCCTTTTCCCCGGCCCAAAGGGGGAAATTGTGGGCTTTCTTTGGCAGTGATTGGGGTAGAAATTACTAAAGGTGGGAAAAAAAAAAAAAACTTGGTTTTAGTCACAATGTTGTTTGCTTGGCCCCGGGAAAGGGCTTTTTTTTTCGGGCGTAATAAAAAAGTCTGATTTTCATTTTTCAGATTTCTTTAACTCCCCTAAAATAGCCCAGAGTATCGTGACCGATTGACTTTCACTGTTTTCCTTCTCTCTGGACTTACTTTCTTTTCTACTGCTTCTTCTTCTTCTTGTCGTTTCCTTCTCGTCTCTTCTTCTTCTCGCTGTTGCTGTTCAAGCAGAAATGCTTCTTCTGCTTCTTTCTGCTGCTGTAAAAATTTCTCAAATTCTATCTTTTTGTCCTTTGTTTTAAAATCGTCGATGCGTGGTAAAAGAAGGAGAAATTGGTGCAGGTACTGGGGCCGGTACAAATTCTTGCGAAGAGAGAAAATCAACTAAATCCAGTTGAAATCAACCTCTTTCGGTCAGTGACACTGTGTTCACCTTTAGTAGCTGAAGCTATACCATTGCTTTTCGTCTCCGCAGCTGGTGCACCCCAATTCATTGTCTTCTTAAGTAGTCCGTCATGTTTGACTCAACAATGCCAACTTCGCACGAACGCTAGTGAACGTATATAGGCATTGTGACGTCACAGGGAACTCTCTTCGGATTGGAAGACAGGCTCCGCGAAGTGACCGAATTTTGTAACGCGTTTTGGGATTGGACACCAATTTCAATCTGTTTCGATCCAGTCTTTCCCTATAAATACAAACAGTTCACTTCATTGCCTTCACCTGTTCTCATCACACACACAAAGAAGATGTTGATCACTGCTAAATCCTCTAGTTGGTTATCGTCATTGTTTTTTGATCCAGAATTACCCGTGTATGCGAAAACAAAATGGTCTGTCATCCGGATTAAAGGTGCCACTGTTTGGAAAAGAAGATGTTATGTGGAAAGACAAGGCTGTTTGAAGCGGACTCTCATCTTCGGACAAGAAGTGAGATGCAGTTTAAGACAAGCTTTGAGAAAGAAAAAAGCAATGCGATGTCCTGTATGTTAACGGCATGATGTTAACATCATAAACAACGGCCCTTTTCAGGGCCACTTTCCATGCCTCGAAAAGATTATACTTTTCCATAACAAATTGCCTGTATAAGTTATAAAACATACATATCACTACATTCACTAACACGACGAACGCTTGATGTCACAGTACTTGACGAATACTTGACGTCACAGTACTTACACATTGCTACACTGTTACCAAGTGTTCAGTACCGTGATGTCATGTTACCTGGGGCCATTTTCTCTTGTCGCTATACAGACCCAGGGTGTGCTAATACAAAATTCCCCTTGTCGCTATATCACCCCACGCTGTGCCATTTGTCGCCAAAAATCTTGTCGCTATATCACCCCACGCTGTTTTTTAATGATAACTCCCATTGTCGCTATATCGCCCCCTATTACTACTCATATATACAAGTATAAGGATCTTAACGTTTAAGCGAAAGTCAATATAACAACATTTCAGCAAAAGTCTGCATATTGATATTTAAGTGAAATCCAGAATATTAGCACTTAAATGAAATACAGTATATTAATGTTTAATCTAAAGACAATATATCAACGCTTAAGCGAAAGACAGTATACTATCATTTCAGCGAAAGGCAACATGCCAACTTTTATATATTAAGGCTTAAGCGAAATAATGTATATTAACATTTAAGCGAAAGGCAATCTATTAACGTTTAAGCGAAATATATCGACATTTAAGCGAAAGGTAGTATATTAACCTTTCAGCAAGGGACAATATGACGTTTAATAGTTGAGTATATTCTGCTGGAATATAAAGAAACATTTGCTATTAGGACGATAATTATAATCTTTAATATATATTACTGTTGAATTGGAATGGTCGTACTTAGGCATCAGACACGAAACTTGATTAAGAGTGACATTTTCCTATCCCTACAGTAATACTTGCTTTCCGATTTAAATGGCAGTGAAGAAAAACATTTTGTGTTTATGTTTGCTGGACAAGGTGGGGCTTAATTGACATTTGATATCAATGAAGTAAGGTTATCAAAACCTTAAATTGTATGTTGAGTAGACAAAATAAGTAGAGAAAGTTTGCATTTATTATCTGTAAATTTTCACAACAGGCAGAAGGTGAGATTGCACAACTTTTAAGTTAAAGAAAGAAAGCGTTAAAACAGATATGTTTATTTAAGCAAAATAATTAGAGTTTATCTTCCTTAATTTAAATCACCAGTGTACGGGGCAGTGCCTTCGAAACTTTTTTCCATATACAAAAAATATGATTATTATTTTGACCATCAACTGTGAAAGGTAAATTTTATTTTCACAAAATGTAAAGTTTTGTTTGAATTCAGTGGTCATTGAGAAGTCATATATCACACAAAGTGAAATATCGTTCTTTGTGCAGCCAAGCACCAAGAACGAACGTAAGCATAGTGTCAGACTTATCAGGATCTCAACCCCTACAAAGTGATTTTTATGTTTCTATCTCTGTGGTAATATCTCACTTGACAAATATTGACATCGATTATTGATATTAGTCATGTATACCTACTGAAAGATGACTAATATATGCACTCCAGTCCTGCAAACATCTTAACGAGAGCTGCATTCTCATCCAACATTGCACTGCTTCTCTTTCAACTACTCCGGGACATAACAATTATCAGATTTGTGTAGGATAAAATACAAATGAGAGTGGTAGATTCAATGATCAATATTTGAAAATAATTGCATTAAATTATGATGCTGACAGGAAACATTGTCTAACGGTACTAACGCGTGCAAAAAATGGTGGTTTTTGAAATTGTACAAATGATGCAATTGATTGAAAATTGAGTGCATAGATTGATATAAATATGTCTTCAATTTGGATTTAAACATAAGTGGAAGAGCGGATACATTTTGTTAGAATTTCCATCTAACCTTTTTAGATAATTCATAGTCGTTGTGGTATTTTGTGCCTTCCACATCACTATATTTTAGATACAGCAATATAGTGCAAATGAAGACACCATAATGTGCCATCTAAATTGCAACTTAAACATTTTAAAACGACAGATCTGGTAAGATTGACTTCATTTTATACAATACCATTAAATGTTTTGTACATTTGTTTCCCTGTTTGACATTTTTGATTTATTTTCTGAGTTATCTAGCTATGGATTTCAAACGCCGTCTAATGCATATTGTAACAAAATCGAATACACTGAGAAATATCGGGACCACCTCCATATTTTGTCATATGTAGTTATGTGCATGTATTTCAGTTCCTACTACTCAGTTACCTTTCGTTGAAATGCTTGGTATCTTGTAGTACCTGTGATTGATGTTTTGAGTTCTTCGTAAAAGCGAGAGCAAGTAGCATCGAATAAGATGTTACCTTTATAATTGTGTGTATCCAGCCAATATATGGCTCTTTTAATTGTAGGGAAGAGATAAATGCTGGGACGATGACTTAAATACCTGTCTAATATTTAGGGTGATATTAAAGAAAATATAGAGGTCTTCTAAACAAGTTTATTTTCGAGTACAGTAATATTAAAGCAAACAGGAAATGCGTAAGTTTATGACCTTTGGGAACACACCGACCCTTTGCACAACAACATAGGGCATCAAAACAAATGCTAGTAAATGATATCAACAAAGAATACAAGTATGGAGAAACGTAAATGATGCAAACAAACAGTAAAAGTGTGGGAAACATAAATGATATAAATAAACAGTAAAAGTCTGCGTTGACGTACATGTACTCGGTAAATACATTGACGTGCGATAACATAGCAGAGGTGATGATACATGATTTACAGCCAAACAGGATTACATTTATATTATGAGTGTAATAATTAAGGAAACCATGTCTTATCTGACATATATAATACTCTCCTTTGCCTTACTAAAATCTTTGTGTGTTTCTCTTTCTTTCTTGTTAGCAAAGTATGTTGACGGAGTTCATTTTTCTTAACTCTGTCTTTGTTCATTGTCTTCAACCTGAGTTAAACCCCTTTGGTTCTCAAGGTGATGAGAGATACATTAACGTGATCGATTTTTGAAATGTTTCATGACTTTAAATTTGTATATCTCTTGTTGTAAATTACTCTGATGAATCTAATATCCAGAGTGTTTCTTATATCTTGTGTTTAGTGTTTGTTATATGTATGGAAGCTGCTTATTGCCTGGCAAGCATAGTAGATTTCTTTTACGTGTATTAAGAGACATCAACAACCAAACTTGTATATTATTCATGAAAAGTTTATAAAGTTGTATTTGTTTACATTTGTAATTTACTAATTGCCACACCGCTCCGGTGGCTTAGTGGTTAGAAGAGCGTCTGCCCTGCGTACAGGAAGTCGCGGGTTCATTCCCCGGCCGAGTCATACCAAAGACTCATAAAAAATGGTACTAACAGCTGCTTCACATGGCGCTCAGCATTAAGAGGTTAGTGTTAGGACTGGTTAGCCTGGTGTCAGGATAATGGGACTGGGTGGGACATCATGCTACGTGTCTGCGGCATGATGCCCCAGTGCTAGACATCATTCTAAACTACCACACTATAAACATCGTAGCGATATAACTGAAACATTGTTAAAGCTACGTTAAAAATCCAAAATCACACACACTAATTGCCAGAATGTAATGTTACCATCAATTTATTGGCAGTCTTTTTGCAGTTCTAGTAGCTGTAGGGCTTAACCCCATTTTTCAGCACAATATAGGATATATATAGCGGCCAGGTTAAATGGTGGAGGAAGAACCGGGGTAAATCCCTTACAAAACACACTGACCCACTAGAAGCTAATTCGCAATCTTGTTGTGATGACCATGATTACAGAGAATTTGTAATGTTCTCATTTTGAGAATGTTTCGATATAGTGTATATTCCGTTTGTAATAAATCTTAGGATAACAGTAGATTTTTTCAAGCTACTCTCTCTTATTAGTTTGAGAACATTGATTGCTACTTAGCTGGCAAGGCTGATAGGTGCACAAATGATCTGCTAAACGTTTATAAATAAAGTAAATTTAAATTAAAATACATTATGCAAGAGAAGAAAATATAAATATATTACTGACATTTCTGTCCATGGGTATTTCATTCTGTGTAACGTATTTCATCACTGATCGGTCAAATATCTAAATATATCTATAAATAGAACCTATCAGGTGTTAAGTGTATCGGATAAAAGCTAACTTGATAAGGTGTTGCTGTAGTTGTTGTAGGGTTTAATGCCAATTTTTCAACACAACATAGGCTATGCATGGCGACCCGTATTAGTGGTGGAGGAAGAACCTGGCAAAACCCCGCTAAGAACCACTGGCCGACGAGAAGCTAGTTGCAAACTTTCTCACGTAACCACATTGTCCGAGCCCGAGACTCGAACCCACGCAGACAGAGGTGAGTTGACAGTGATCCGTAATGGTGAACGCTTTAGACCACTTGGTCACTTGAGGCCCTCAGCTTTTTGAGATTAAAGCGCTATTAGCTATAGAGGATTCAAGCAATAATACTAGAAATTCTTAAAAATCTAAGTTATTTAAAAATTTCAATGGCCATGCCGTTCATCTCACTATATAAATAACTTTTGGAATGCCTTGTGACCTAGTGGTTTGAGGGCTCTGTCGTTGTGAGTTTGAGTCTCGGCTAGACCACCGATGGTATGTGTGAAACCTTGGTATTATCATATATGTGAAATTGGGACACAGCCGAATTTAAAACAGAAACATTCAGACAAGTTTAAGATGAGAGAGATTGTACCTTTAATTTTCCGTTAACAATATCAGGGTTAAAATGAATCGTGATGACTGCTTGAATTCCTCTGTAACTTTATTGGTGGGCTCAAACAAATTCTTTGAGGTTATTATACATAAAAAATTTTTTCACTGATAATTGGTGGACATGTGCCAATTAATTTTATGTGTCTGTCTGTCTGTCTGTGTCTCTGTCTGTCTGTCTCTAAATAAAGAAGACCAAATGGCTGATAGTTTGAATTATTAGTTGTGTTACCTAAAGACCACACAAAATCTAAATGTAGATTTACCAGTGATTGGGCTGACAGCAAAATATTAACCCAATTACATTAAAAAAGGAGTAGATCTTCAATATTCGTCATAAACAGTGGTTGTCCTTGATTGTGCTTCCTCTGACGTACTATCATGATTAAATAAGCATTTTGTCCTTTGAAAAACGTGACTCAAAACTCCAATCTATTATTTCATCTTCATGTTACAAGTGTTATTAAGCGCGAAACGTTTGTCAGATAAATTTGATATAATAGACGACTATCAATACTCGGATTTTTTTTAAAATCAGATCTGCGCATATATTTTTTTTGTTTCCACCCAAGTTTCTTACTGGAGATATTTTTATATAACTGGGTTCCTTTCGGTACGAATACAGAGTTTAATGCTTTTCTGGAATACGATTCTAAGCATCTATTCAAATAAAGTGCAGTATCTTTCAGATATTTCTTTTATTAACATCAAAATCATCTTGTCTATTATTTCACAACTATCAACACTAGCATCACTATATTTTGTGTGTTGCTGCTGCTGTTGTTATTTGTCAATGAAATACCTTATAGTTTCATTATATTTTGAAATCTTGTGACATGGGCATACCATATCTTGGTTACTCCGTCAATGTAGTTAATATTTTTGTCTATTTCCTAATGTAAGAAGCTTTTCTCTTGGCTCAAATTCATAACGTGGTTGAAACTCATTCTCCGAGAGGGAAGCATACTAATAGCTGTAATGCTTTCAACATCACCATCCTTGTACGATTAGCATCTTCAAATGAACGACATTAAATGTTAGTATTTTTTTTCATTATGCGAAATAAGTCTCTGGAAAATTTTTTTCTACACTAAACTGATATTTTCTATCTTTATGAGCATGGCAAGTTCCTTTACTGACTTCCAAAGTTGTGCGATTTCAATGCTACATCTTACATTCAGGGAAAAATTAATGGTTATAGTGGAATAATTACGACTATGTGAGACAGAAATGATATCCAAACCTTTTACCAATGTAAACGGCATACTTTTATTCGTGTGATCGCTGTTTCTCACTATAGCTTTCTTAATGTATAATCCATGCTACCTTGCGAAGATATGCTTCTGTTTGTTAAAGACTCATATTTCCGTAAATCATTGTTGGTCACTAAAACGCTATAATCAATTAATTTGAAAAGAATTCCACATTTGCATAAAGTTATAATCTCGCTTGCAGCACCTGTCTGGATTAATATCATTACTATTATCATTTATTTACAAATTTATGAAGCTACTAATTTGGTGTAAACTCAGTTCATAGTTTTGGTTTGTGAAGTTTTGCCTGATTTTGCGCTGCTGTGTGTTTTTACGTGATGTGTATCATTGATATCTTTTATTTACTACGACAGTATGTTTTCCTTCCGCACTGTCTGGATCAAATTGTTCGAATAATGACTTTTTACCTTAAATAAATTAAATTAAATGGCTAATCCCACCGCATTGCCGCTTTTACTATGTTCTTTGTTATTAGTTCGTTTAATAAGTTTATTGTTTTGTTATTTCAGTAGAATACTATTTGTAAATAGGATTGCAAATACCAAAATTCTTTTTCTTATTTTAATGAAAATTTTCCGATTTTACTTTAGGTACTCTACAATATTTTCAGACCCTTTATTTGTAATCTAAAATTGATATTATGGTAATCGTTGTTACAATATATCTGAGATTCTTTGAGATTGTGAACATGAGGTTCTTCATTCATATTTGTTATGTCGACATCAATATTTTGTTTATATTTGTCCCTGATACCTAGCCAAATGTAAGCGATAAATAGTGATGTGGCCAAAATCAATGGCAGGTCGGTAACATCAAGGTAAAGGATATTGTCCTCTTTGATGATGTTTCCAGGTGTTCTGTTTGCATGTGTGATGATATTAGTAGATGCGCCCACCAGATGTTGATAAACTGACGTGATTGAATAGACGTTGGTCATGTGCTTGCATATATTACACTGTACATTGTTAGTATATTAAATTGTTATATCACAATGTCACTTGTTAGTACATCAAACTGTTATAATATTACACGGTCACGTGTTAGTATAACATAAAATCAAATTGTCAAGTATTAATTTATCAAACTGTTGCAGTATCACACTGCCCGTGCTGTCTATGAATATCTATACCATTATCTATAAGTAATCCCATTTTGGTTAAGCGGCAGTTACTAACGGCCTGTCACCCAAGAGTCAGACCCAACAAAATGTTTATTTATTTTTGTTTTGTTGTTCTTTCACATTTGATGTCCTTTTTATACTTTAACTAGGAAAGAAAAACGTGTTACTACTGCTATTTACCGTGCTAATATATAGAGCATGGCCAGAACGATTAACAATTGACCGTTACCGTGCGAATTTATACGTCATGGCCAGAACGATAAACAGCGGACATAGCCACATGAGATGCTATAATAAATCTGCTACTTTCGTTCTGTTACATGTATTGATAGCCAATACGATTGAGCACAAACTAAAAAAAAAATATTTTTTTTCGAGTCAATAACTTATTTGATTTCGCAGGTGAATTGCATAATAAAAACACCATGAGAATATCTAATATGATGAGACTGTTACTATAGTCCTTTGCTACAAAGACTTGACAGCGCATGCCTATCATGTCAGAACTTAATATCTAATTTACACCTAAAAGTGTCATATATTCTGTTGCGACTTCAACCAGGACATAAAGACCATTGACGCACTGACTTTGCAAGTACACTTTCGCCATGCAACTTTTGCAACCATAATGGTGTCTCAAAATATAGAATGATAACTTCGCAGCTAATAAGTTTCTTCCTTACAATATCTAAGAATGAAAGGCACTGCCAGAGAAAACAGCTAAATATAGACGTGGAGCACTTAGTTGGTTAATGACTTGCTCTGAATTTCACCAACATCAATTTTAAGTATAGACTGAAGACATTTGATTGGTCAATATTAGTTCAGACTACAAACATCAGCCAAATTAGGTCGATGGACTTAACGTTAAGTCCAACATCAAGTTATGTTTGTGAAATACAATATTTTTGTTCAAATCTTACCCCTATCCAACTGTGTCAGTCACTGTGGCTTGTTCCTGTGTAAGGCACTTCACTCCAGCTACCTTGTGCATTTTTCTTGCACACCTATTATACTAGGTGAAAAATGGCTTGGCAGTATATTTTGCTGTCTTGACGAATGCGTGCATGTATACACCACTGTGCTAATATATCGTGCGTAGTACCAATGGGATCGAAATTTCCAGGTTTGGGTCGAAATTGCATGTATATTTTTTTATGATTTCATGGTATGATATTGCCTTTATAACCAACAAAATCAAGTACAAAAAG